TGAGAACAAATGTTCTTAACCACTATGTCACACTTCCTTCTTTCCAATTTGGTCAACTTTCCCAATAGAGATGATCTATTGCTTTTATTTCAAATACATTTAAAAATGCATTTTAATCTCCCAATTGGCATATCTTAATGTCTCCAGGGGCAGCATGGAGGAAAAAAGTAGTCAAGTAAAATATGCAAGGGTGAGACAAAATGGTTCACTCAACTGTTAGGTGCTGAACATCTAACTATGAGCTGCACACAATGATGAGGGTACTTACTGTGCCACAGTTTATGATCCCGATGAGCGTTTCCACATGTGAATCCGAAACTTACTCTTGCAAGGGCAGCCATTCCTGTCTGAAGGGGCTTTGGAAAAGCCAAAACACCAATCACACTGAATGGATCCTTCACTTCATCAATTGCCAGTCTCCACCAACACTTCGCATTAGCATGGCCATTTACATTAGTCTGTCCCATTTGACTACCTGGCAGTAAAATAATTCTACTAATTTGCTATTCTTATCACTTGTCTCTTTTTTTCCCTAAGTTTTCCCAGGTAACATCCAATTATACAGGATTTAATTCTTTTCCTTCCCCATGGTATTACTGATCAAGGTACAATCATCAGCCTGAAAAATAATTTCAGCAGGCAAAGTAAGATTCAAGAATAAGAATGAATGCTGACAACCAATAGAAATACCCTTTCTTACAAATTTAATTCTGTATTATTCTGGTGCAAGTTCAAGAGGTAATTATCACCTCTATGTAAACCAAGACATTAAGACACAGGGCTCAAGTAAAAACAGCAGCAGAAAACCTAACCATTCAAATGAATTATAGTCCTATCTGTTTACATATTTTCTTTCAAAAGTATGGTACAATTTACTAATTGCTAAATTTGTAATTGCTGTTCTGGTAATTTTACCTCCAATATTTACTGAAGTGTATCCAAATGATAATGAATATCAGGGCAATTTTCATTTTTAAAAAGGGTAAAATACTTTAGAAAAAAATGAAACCAGTTAAGATGAATTTTAAATTTAAAAAGACATGTCATTATAAGAATATGAAACAGCAGGGGTGATTTTAATTAGAAAATAAAACTCGTAACACTCTAATCATTTTTCTTTATTCAATTGAACTATACTCCTAGGTTTTCATTGAAAATGGTAATACTATTGAAAATCAACACAAACCATTTTCATTTTTAAAATGTCTGAAGAAAATTAAACATACAGCTTAAAAAATATTTTTAAAACAGACAAATATTTTTATAATTTTTACTAAAAATTCTGACACTTGGTCAATTTTAGATTGGATAGCCTTCCATGTAAGAATTAGAGACTATCAAAATTCACAATACCTAAAAGAAGTCTTCCTAGGTGTTTGGTTCTCCAACTTGAATTATCAATAATAGCAGCAGAACAAATTATACTATAGATTGGCATTAGAGATACTTATTTGGGATCTCTAAATCTAATGGATCTGATTTTCAGAGAGATTAAAAACCTAATCATGCCTCAGACTTGGCGATTGCAGCCAGATTGCCTGGGTTAGAATCCCTTTTTACTGTGTCCCTGCTGGGACGATCTGGTACAATGTCCTTAATCTTCCTGAACCTTGGTTTCCTCATTTGTAGAAAGGGCTCAATAACGGTATCTAGTTAAGAAGATGGCTGTGTAGATGAATTGAGAAAACATAAAGAGCTTACCTCAGATTCTGGAACAGAGAGAGTGAAGACAAGTTAACAGCATCAATATTACATGACGATGAAACGTTAATTTGATGCTAGAATCACTTTACTCTCTCTTGTAGGAAGTCCTGGAATCATGTACCTTTCTTCTCAGTAGAATGAGACCAAAGGAGAGCTCTGAACATATATAAGGCCACCTTCAAACATTGTCTTTTGTCTTCCAGTGTCATATAGTTACCTACTGACGCGAAGACGGATGCTAAGAGCACGACTCTAGGCACTCAGGCACATCATTTTGTTTCCTAACTCTCAACAGGTAACACCAATAACTGCCATTTTCTTAAGAGTGGAAACTTCCACAAAGAGCAGTGGCTGAAGATTTGACAACCCTGAGAAGATAATACCCCTGGGGCTGGTTCGGATGGTTTCTAATCTGTTTCTGCACATTCCCCAGTTCTTTGACCTTTATTGCATGTTCAGTCCCTCAGTCACGTCTAACTCTTTTGAGACCCCACGGACTGTAGCCTGCCAGGCTCCTGTGTCCATGGGATTCTCCAGGCAAGAATACTGGAGTGGGTTGCCATGCCCTCCTCCAGGGCATCCTCCTGACCCAGGGATCAAACTCATTTTTCCTGCATTGGCAGGTGGATTCTTTACCACTAAGCCACCAGGGGAGCTGAAGTTACAGTAACACAACCAGTACAACTAGACTTAAAATCAGAGCCACACACACACGCATGCACACACACACTCATTCTCACACCCTGGCACAAGCCCTACACACACTTTTTCCACTGAATTCTCCTGCCTCTAAATATACCTTGGGTTTTCATGTAAGAAAATGATTGAATTACTATTTCATGTCTAATTTTCCTTACATCAATGATAACATTTAAAACTCTTTACTAACTAAAAATAATCTTTTTCTACTACATGTATTCAAATACTTAGTGTATATTATAGCATAAGGATTGTTTAGAAGCAAGTCTCTAACCCTGATACCAAGGAGAAAATTAATGAAAGAGTTGACAAATTGATACCAAGATTAAGAAGATATTTGTCAGAAAAGTGGGAGTGGCTGTTATCAACCAAATAAAATCAGAAGAAACTAAATACCATAATTCAATAAGAGAATTTTCTGCTTCTCTTTTCTCCCATTTCCCCAAAGCTGATATATCTTTAATAGAGAGGGCATTGTCTCCAACTACTGTCATGAGATTATAAAAAGATAAAAGGTTAAAAGATAGAATGACAAAAAGTAGACTGAAAAATATAAGAAATGATAGCATTGGAACAACTATTATGGTGCCCTCTTATTTCCCCCTTAAAATGTTCTTTTTGACCATAACACAATTAACATCACACTTTGACCATAATACAATTTGACCATCACACAATTAATCACGAATAGGCATTTGCTTTTTATACATTTTATTAGAATAATAAAAAATAATACATACAGATAACCATAGGATACACACACAGGAATTTAAAGGTAAATGTCATACTTTTCAATATGAAACAAAGTACCTATCTCATGGAGATATATTTCTAGAAACACCATGAAACAAGAGATTAATCATCTTGAAAATGAAAACTATAGGAACATATTATAGGAATTACTAAGTAATAAAAAGGTACAACTCCATTACATGTTGCATAAAATACAGGTATTGGAGAAAGTGTTTCCCCACTTTTTGACCTGAAATAACAATGGTCATATGAAATCTACTTGTTCAGATTTTTTTCTAGATATATACACTATATACAGACCTTCCAGAGAAAAGTTATAAATATTTTTCTTCTTTATGTATAATGATGTTATCTTAAAAGGAATCTCTAAATGTAAAGTAATGCTTTATGGTGATATCAGAATTTTGCTAATATGTATTCTCTTTTGATATCTGTTGGTTTCAAATTCAGGTATCTTTGCAAAGAACAAGTTCCTGCAAAATGTCAAACTGTTGGAAAGAGGTAAAAAATTGATTTTGCAATGTTTAACACTCAATCTGCTGATTTTCTTATATTTTCTTATATTTTTAACATATTGCTATGAAGTCATGTCTTTGAACGCAATGCACTGAGAGACTGAGTCATACATATCAAAGTCAGCAGCATGGCCATGGTTCTATTACAAATTTAGCTCAGGAGCTAAAAATCCTGCCAGACTCACTCTGATAGACTGTTGGACTTCATTAAAAAACCATCTCCACCATCCAAAAAAGAGTCCCGTAATGGAATCAAAAATTGGAAATGAAGGATCATGTGAATTTTGTATAATATATGGGTTAAGATTCAGGTCATTTCTTATTTCCTCCACCAGGTTTTAATAAAACCTGAAAGCTTGTCATAGATGTGAAGGAAATGATTCCTTTTAATTTTATTTCATTTTTTAAAACTTTTGAGAAAAGGATAGAATGTGATCATGTCAATATAATATCATGGAATGAAAAAGAAAGCATTACCTACAATGGAAACTTTTTTAAAAGTGCAACCTTTAAAAATATGACAGGTTCTCATGACTTTAATATTATTAAATAAACTCACACTAATATTTTGTACAGGCTCAGTGCATTAGGGGTAACAAAGCATTTTCAGATTTCCTTCTTTATCTTTTAGCAAGTAATCCACTGGGCAGAGGCAGATAAGATGGGTATTATTATCTCCACATTTTATGGATGAGTAATTGAGAAGTAGAGTGAGAAAAGTGATTTGTAAACAATCTCACAAACACTCACTAGTATACCTGAACAAAACAGCACACTTCCAAATTCTAGCAGAACATCTCTAACAACATTCTTTTGAATCACATGCACCCTTTTCCAAACAGGGTAATTTTTAAAATGTAATTTTCATCCTTGAGTATTTCAAATAAGCATTTCAAAATAATATTAATTATATCTTCCAAACAGTGCTATTACAATGGGAAGAAAGCATTTGGATTACATGAGCTTTTCTCTATTAATTAAAAAAAAAACAAAACCACTACAACCAATGTATGTGTCTGCATGTGTGTACCCATAGTAGCATGTGAGTCTTCATTCACAGGCAGTGCCTCAAATCATAGCTTAAGAATGTCTCTATCAAAAATCAGATGTATGTAATATGTAAATTCCTTTGGTTTATCAAGTAAATATTAAGGCATTTCAGATTCCCCTAAAAGGATTTACTGTTTTTTTTCTATTATATTCGTATTTTACCTATGTAGAAATTTAAAAATACAGTTGAAAAAAAAAAACATGCATCATCATTGTATTTCATGAAAGCACTTCTTTTGTAACCAATTCAGTTTCCAATAAATAATTAAAAAGTAACTATCAACACAAGGTGTTTACAATAAAGAACATTATTACAGAGACATAACTTGACACAGGGTAGACAGTGGCGATGGCTGACGTACAACCTCTTGCATCCATATCTGTCAAAGACGATAAACAGCTCATTAATGAGAACCATACCAATTTAAGCAACCAGGACAAAAGCAAAGTCTTTCCAATCATAAGCAAATCATCTCAGGGACCTAATTTACGACCACAAGTTAACATTAGCTTTCATTTATCAATGTAACCAATATTATTTGCCATGAGTATCTATAAACACCCTGATGTACTTAAGTTTTCTTAAATTATTCTGGGTTTTGTTTATCTAGCATTATTTAACTTTAATTGAAAGTGGAAAAGCAACTTAATCATTTTGAAAACAACTATACTCTATTACAGACAATTTTGAGCTAATTTAATGGTTTAATTAAAGCTTCATCAGAGAAGGGTTCTGAAAAATCTGTGTTTATTTCTCTTTTGTGCATTTCTACATAAATTGTTATGTATACTATAAAACAACATCTTAAAAAAGCAATCAGTAACAAGCTCCATTTTCCTAGAGATGGTTTTGTCTGCACTTAAGACCGGCAACCTATGCGTGCTCAGAAAGAGGGCAGATGTCAGAGGAAAAGGCTACTCTTGAGTCGGCAGCCCTCACATGCTAAAGTCATGTCTGTTCCTGCAAACACACAGAACCCATTCCTGTTGACAGTTCCTCTTTGGCCATGTTGGGCACCAGATCTTAGTTGAGGGCACATGGGACCTTCAGTCTTTGTTGCGGCACGTGGGTTCATTAGTTGTGGCATGCAGGATCTGTAGTTGTGGCATGCGAACTCTTAGCTGCAGCATGCTAACTACCAGGGAAGTTCCCATGCTGGATCTTTTAGCTGTAGCATGCAGGATCTTTGTCATTTCGACATGTGGCACCTTTAGTTGCAGTATGCATAATCTTTCAGTGGCATCATGCAGGGTCTTTTAGTTACGGCATGTGGCATCTTTAATTGTGGCATGCAAACTCTCAGTTGCAGCATGCAAACTACCAAGGACGTCCCCATGCGGGATTTTTAGTTGTAGCATGCAAATTCTCAGTTGTGGCATGTGGGATCTAGTTCCCTAACTAGGGATTGAACTCCAGGCCCCTGGCATTGGGAGTGTGGTGTCTTAGCCACTCGACCACTGCAGAAGTACCTGGCCGTACTATAATTTTAATTCTCAACCTTGAGCTATCACAGGAACAGGACAGAGTATCTTAATCTTAATTTTAAAATTTAAATACTAACACTAATACTACCAATAATAAACTTAAATTAATTTCTGGTTTTGCTCTACTGAAGTGCATACACTTTTAAAAATGTCTGTAGATCTAAATGGTTTCTACAGATTTTTATGTTGCAGAACTCAGTTCTGAAATAAACATTTCCCATTTTCTTCACATTGGTTACTTGTTTGTTTTTGGTCTAAGTATTGCAGTCTTTATGCTTTCATGAAAAGATAAAATTCCTCCAAATTTCCACACCTCCCTTTCTCTATATTTGCTAAAGATGTCCCATTTTTGTTTTCCAAGATTACAGATAAGGGTTTTAATCTTGAATGTCCAAGACTATAGATTAGGCAGAGTTCAGTGAAACAAACAAAGTAATTTAGGTTACTAAGGACCAGAGAGTAAAGTATGAAGAGAGGATGGTTTTTTGGGGCCTTAAATGAGGCCCCCAAAATCCACACTTGAGGTTTAAAAGAAAAGATAAAATGTGTTCTACCGCTGTCACTGATAAAATATGTATGAAAAGTCTGTTTCCCGCAACTCCGAAAGTGTAACTTTATATTGTAATAAAGTAGGCTTCATGTGGATTTTGAAAGGAAAAGTAAGTATGAACTTCCTTTGAAATCAGAAACCAAGAATTTGTTTTAAAAAGTGTCTTCGATTTGGCCAAAAGTGGGTTATGACCTTAAAAATGTTAAAATTTCTACTTGGTAAAGAACTGATAAGACATATCTATAATTTCTAAGAGGCAAACAACTGGAATATTAAAGATCTCAAAATTGTTTTGTGGGTTCAACATTGCCCTTGAGAAAAGGAATTCTATTTTTTAAGGAACTCCAAAGGCAAATTCATGCAAAGCTCAGAACACAAAAATTATTAAACTAATAACATTTGCTAAACATTTCTCAAAGTTTTTTTTCCTGTTTTTCAGCTCTTATCATTCTCCTTACTACGCAGCACTCTTGAGGAATTCCTCCTTCCTTCACTTCTCATATTCTAAAACCTTCTCAGCATTCAGATGAAAAAAAAAAAAGATGGGGCAGGGGGTACGCACAAAAAGACTCTCTCTTTTGGGCTCATAACTGATGCTGGGAATTGAGACACTGACTTTGACCAACTTACTGGTTATTCTTGGAATCCTGATCTGTTCACTACTGGTCCCATCCCCGCCATCCGTTGTGGCCTTAACTTCAATAATGTAGTCCTCTTTAATGGGCAGCAAAAGTTCAGCTGAAGTTTTATTTGTGTTCAGCACTTGCACATTATTTTGACTGCTAGTCCTATAGAAAACCTAAAATGCATGAACAAACATATTTTTTTTTACTGTCTGCTTTTATTTTTTCATCAAAATTATTCCCCTGATGTTACTTCATTTATATCGGTTGTTTTTCTACACCCACTACAGTATCTGCTGCATTCATAGATCTATCATAGATCTTAGATGAGGGATCAGCACATGGCAGAATCATCAAATCCTCAAAATCAAAGAGGTGGGGGGACTGAACTTCTTCCATGAAACATTCAACTGGTTGGGTATTTCTAAGGCTTCAGAGACCGGGCAAGGACCTACTGTATTGAGCCTGAACATCAGACCAAGGAATCAGAGCCAAAACTATGGATTCACTTTAAGTAGTATATAGATGAGTATCAGAAATAGGAAACAACAAACACTTTACCAACATTTGGCCCAAAATTCCCACATGAGCACAATTATTTCACTTAAATTTATATTTAAGAAATCAGGCATTTTGGAAAAATATTCTTTTCCAACAGTTTGATATCTGTATGTCAAAAGTAGCTTATAAAGACCACACCATCAACATTTAGAAAAAAAAAAAAACTGTTCAAATCTAGCTTCCTTTGAAAAGTGCTACCAGAAGTGGGAAAAGAAAGCATTGCAAATTATTCCACTTACTTTATATCCTGTTACTTCTGATTCATTCTCCATGGCTTTCACCTGCTCCCAATTAAGCAACACTTTTGTGTCTGTAGCATTCCAAACAACATTTCCTGGTGGCTGACTGGGAGCTTGAAATGCAAAATGAGAAAAGTAAAATAGATTTGAGCATGGAGTGATATTTTACATACAACACATAGATAAAGGAGGTGGCAGAAGGAAGGCAGAATCTCTTCGGTAACTCATAGTGCATAGGCAGAATCAGAAAAAATAACAGAATAGCTAAATTTCCCTTTACAAAGTCATTTCTAGAACACCGTGAGACAATTCATTTTAGCATATTCATGATACACTTTAGGGCATTTCTTCCCCAGTGGCTCAGCAGTAAAGAATCCATCTGCAATGCAGGAGACATCGGTTTGATTCCTGGGTTGGAAAGATCCCCTGGAGAAGGAAATGGCCACCCACTCCTGGAGAATCCCATGGACAGAAGAGCCTGGTGGGCTATATACAGTCCATGGGGTCGCAAAAAGTCAGAGACAACTTAGCAACTAAACCACCATCACCACAGTGATCTCTTGGAAAACTTGTTGATACTGGAGATAAAGAAATTCTTTTATCCACCACTAGAGGGTTGCCCCTTGATGGGCCAGGAAAGGCAGGCAGTGTGGCCTGCTGCATACATCCAGAGACTGAGAGAAATTGCCGATTGAGCAGATTAAAGTTACAGGAAATGAAGTGCGGATGATTTTTAAGCCAGCCATGTACGATGAGATGAGCAAAATGGGAGGCAATCAAAAATAAAGATTACTTAGATTTATTCCCATGAAGTAATAGCTACACACATGAAAAATTGCAGCAAACAGTCTATATTTTAGTCTTCGTTTTCCAAGTTTAAATCAATTTTTGAGAAAAATAAGGCAAAACACTAAATCGTTAATGAGAATTCTATTACATAATTAATGAAACTCTCTGAGGTTTAAAAACTTGGATTCATAATTTAGTTTTCTCTCATGAATGCTAGGCGCAGGGGGAGGGGAGTTTGGTAGCGTTTGTCAAGAGCAATATAGGGCACTGAAAAGTCAGTTTCTCAATCACAAAACAGCAAACATAATATTATCCATTTGGTAACAACATCATGATTGCCCCCAAAAATGCTGAGATATGTTGTACTTTTAGATTTAGCCATAAAAAATGTAACTTGGTTAACTGAATTTGTTATGGGAAAATGATATAAAAGATGGGCTATGCTGAGACATTTCTAGCTATCGCTGACTCATGCCATGAGGGAGAGGTGGCTGCACTTACACATGGGAAAAGTGCTCAGATACACTGAGGTGACTAATGATGCTAAACAAGACTATTCCCTGCAGATTCTCTGGCTTACTGTCTGTTCTTTCATGCTATTCCACATTGCGTTTAAAATCTGTGATCTGGTATTCACAAGGAGTTTAGGTCAGATCAGAGCATTCAAGTTGCAAAGCTTACATAACAAAACATACATAATGGCAGTTGCCTAGGGTTCCTAATGACTATGTTCTGGAGCTCCATCCAAATGTTATGAACACACTGTTGTGAGAACAGTTACCAAAATCTGTGATTCCCCATGGCCTAGCAGCAGCAGAAAAGGACAAGCTCCATTTGATGGAGTCGAGATAATATACTTCAGCATGATGTGTCCTGTCAAGAGATACCTGCTTGCAGATTAAGGAAAACTTGAGTGATTTTGGTAGAATCATTTATTCCAACAGTAGTCTTGTAGAAGAAGTGACTTCATAGTTTAGCAGTCAGGCTTATTTTGTTTGAGTCCCAGAATATCAACAGACAAGCTGAATGAGAGCATTTTGAACTGAATACTTTTTGAATGGACAAAAAGAAAAAAAAATAACAACAACAAAACAGGAAATGGGACCAGGGGAAAATAAAAGCTTCATTCGGGGTCTGATTACTCATTTTCCATATTGGTATTTCTAAGCATCAGATAATCATGTTCCGTTTCCATCATTTTTGTTATTTTTTAAAAAATGAACTTGATTGAACAAAAAAAACACATAACCATTGACTTTCAGTTCAGTTCAGCTTAGTCGCTCAGTAAATTCCGACTCTTTGCGACCCCATGGACCGCAGCACACCAGGCCTCCCCTCCCTGTCCATCACCAACTCCTGGAGTTTACTCAAACTCATGTCCATTGAGTCGGTGATGCCATCCAACCATCTCATCCTGTCGTCTCCTTCTCCTCCCACCTTCAATCTTCCCCAGCATCAGGGTCTTTTCAAATGAGTCAGTTCTTTGCACCAGGTGGCCAAAGTATTAGAGTTTCAGCTTCAGCATCAGTCCTTGCAATCAATATTCAGGACTGATCTCCTTTAGGATGGACTGGCTGGATCTCCTTGCAGTCCAAGGGACTCTCAAGAGTCTTCTCCAGCACCACAGTTCAAAAGCATTAATTCTTCGGCACTCAGCTTTCTTTATAATTCAACTCTCACATCCATACATGACTAGTGGAAAAACCATAGCCTTGACTAGACGGACCTTTGTTGGCAAGGTAATGTCTCTGCTTTTTAATATGTTGTCTAGGTTGGTCATAACTTTTCTTCCACAGAGTAAGTGTCTTTTAATTTCACGGCTGCAGTAACCATCTGCAGTGATTTTGGAGCCCAGAAAAATCAAGTCTGTCACTGTTTCCACTGTTTTCTCATCTATTTGCCATGAAGTCATGGGACTGGATGCCATGATCTTAGTTTTCTGAATGTTGAGCTTTAAGCTGACTTTTTCACTCTCCTCTTTCACTTTCATCAAGAGGCTCGTTAGTTCTTCACTTTCACCACCACCATAAGGGTGGTGTCATCTGCATATCTGAGGTTATTGATATTTCTCCTGGCAATATTGATTCCAGATTGTTCTTCATCCAGCCCAGTGTTTCTCATGATGTACTCTGCATATAAGTTAAATAAGCAGGGTGACAATATATAGCCTTGACGTACTCCTTTCCCTATTTGGAACCAGTCAGTTGTTCCATGTCCAGTTCTAACTGTTGCTTCCTGACCTGCATACTGATTTCTCAGGAGGCAGGTCAGGTGGTCTGGTATTCCCATCTCTTTCAGAATTTTCCACAGTTTGTGGTGATCCACACAGTTTAGCCTTTTCCTAAATACTAACAGTCACATTATCATGAGCTTTTTATGCTAGTTACATTCCTATGGCATTCTATTTAATAAATGAAGCATTATGAAATTAAAAAAAATATTTATAAGCTATTTTAAAATCATCTCTTATCACTACTGGTAAGAATAACATCTGGAAAATCCTTGATCAGACAAACTTTCTCTTCACATTTAAAATTCTATTGCTGTTAGTGACTAATGTTTATTAAAACCTAAAATATGTTAGGAATGGTAGAATATACTTTTTTTATGATTTACTCAATTCTCATTATACTGCATTATAATAATGCCTATTTTCTGTACATGGGTTACCTGGACCCAGAGAGTTTAAAAACAGATTCTACATTCATGTTGATAGCAGCAGCATTCCCAGCAGACAAAAGGTTGAGCAACCCAAGTGTCCATCAACAGATGAATAAGTAATCAAAACGAGGCTTATCCATATAGTGGAACACTATTTAGCCTTCCTAAGTAGGAAGGAAATCCTGACACATGTTACAATATGGGTGAGGAAATTATGAAATAAAAGTCACAAGAAGACAAATTCTGTATGTGAACCCACATATACAAGGTAGCTGGGTAGTTAATCCATAAAGGTATAACGCAGAATTGCAGTTGCCGGGGTGAAGGAGAGGAGAATAGGAGATGTTTAACAGGTACAGATTTTCTCTTTCATAAGGTGAAAAGAGTTCTGGAGATCAGCTACAGAACAACCAAGCCTAACACTAAGGAACTATACATTTAAAAACAAGTAAGATGGAAATTTTATGTCATGTGTATTTTTATCACAAAAATTAAAAGCAAAGAACTTGCTAAGATGCACAACTGGTAAGAGACACCATGTGGATTCAAACAAGCTCTCGTTAATTCCAAAGTCTATGCTTCCCCTATTACATTGTGCTAACTACCTGTGACTTCAACTCTTTAAAGAGCTGACAAATGATTTGTCCATATGTCCACAGTTTTTATTCACTAATCCAGTATCGTGTCAAAGGTAGATGTCAACTTAAGATTTTATAAGTAACTGACTGCCATTTTAAGGCAAGAAGTACAACACAAGGATTAAGAAAAAAACTTTCGTAGTGTTACTAGAAAATAAGTTTGATCTATTCCCCATGTGTCCCTAAGGGATAGTTCATGCAATGATAAAGTAAGATTGGGTAATTGGGTAAACAGTCAGGAAAAAAATATCAGTTACAATTCACCATGGTGTCAGCAGGACAACATATGGCTGATCACTGTTCTCATATATGGCATAACAGGATTTAGAATGAATTTTCTAGCTCCATGGTTTTGAAAGTCCTCCAAGACACAACCCAATAAATGCTATAAATTTCACAAAGACCAAACTGGGACATTAACGCTGACCATCAGCTTGAGAGCTTGAATATAGCTGATCATATTGAGGCTGAGAAGACAAGAAACATAACAGAAAGAAAAAATAAGAAAAAAACAGTGAAACAATTGATGTGTTAATTAAATACTTAAATGATTTGTTAACTCACATAGTTCGAAGTGTTAAGAGAAAAAGCAGATAAGGAGGTGCAAACATCTCAAGTGGATTTTGAAAGATGATAAGAGTTTCACATGCAGGGGTTGGGCTGGGCAGGGGGTGGCAGAGGGTATCCAAGGCATGGGACAGATACAGGCGAGGGTGCAGGGGCCAAGATCTAACATGGTGCCATGGGGAGCTCATTCTGACAGCACAGGCAAGGATGGGGGGAGGGATCAGAGCAAAGGCAGTTGGAGAGGCAGGTAGGAGGAGCCATATTCTAAAGGGTCTAGAAGGTCAAAGGAACTAGGAAAGGAATTTGTTTTGCAGGCAACTGGCAGAAGACTGAGGAAGGATCAGATCTGTGGAGCCAATAGGTGTGTGCTTTCATGGATCTTCTGCAGGGCAGAGGGAGGAGGAGGAGAACCCAGTGGAAGGTCTGTAGGGAATACACTGTAGCACTTTGTGTAAAAG